GTCTGATGCAATATCTTTCATGATAGACACAATATCATTTTAGGTAGATATAATATCAATTCTGGTAGATACAATCCCAGTTTTTCCTGATGTAATATCAGGTATTTTTATCTGATGTAATTCCAGATGTAGCAATCTGATACAATCACTTTGGCAGTGATTACAAGCCCTGGTAGTTTTTTGCTGTCAACAATGATGCATTGCCCAGTAGAAGAAAATCCTTAAAGCATTTAAAATTCTGTACCATTCCATTTGGCCGGAGAGGAAGGGTGTCAAGAAGAAAACTTGAAAAAATCTGAAAGTCATCTTGGGTGAAAGCCCTTCTGGTTCTGCCTGATAAGGAAGTTTAAATTCATAACTGAAATTAAAATGTGATTCCATGATTGTAACATAGTGTCCTTTTTTGGAAATAATATGGTGCAGCTGATCCCAAAAAGCTTGTGGTTCTGGGACCAGCTGTATTTCCAAAGAAATTTTTTGTGCCTTGTTTTTTAGCACCTCATACAGTGCGCATCACCTCTTCTTGACTACCCCGACCCTGCAAAAAAAAATTGAACTTTGATCTGTATGTTTGTTCACACCAACCATGCTACATGTGTAAACAATGCATTTTTGAGCTCTACAGAAGTAGTGGAACTCAAAAATATAAAGCAAGATTGTGTAGCATGCAAGACAAAAAAGTTTGAAATTTTCAAATTCAAAATTTGGAACACCCGTGGAAAAAGGCCATACTATGGCCTATTGGGTATGCAATATGTATTTATATGGTATGTATTATGCACATAGACCATCTAAATACATGATATTGAGGGTAAAAGGAGAAAAAAACATGAAAAAACCAGTGCCAGTCATCCGGCTAACTTGGGCATTGCACCAGGCCATGATCTGATGAGCCTTGCCAATCAAGTTTGTTTCTTGTTTGTGAATTTCAAAGATGCTGTTGGCATCTTCATATTCATCCAGCTCATTTCATTTGATATTGTCTTCAACCGGAACTGCTTCCTCTTGATCAATGATCTCAATTGGCTGGGGATTTGGCTGTTGCAAGCGTTTTGGTTTTTGTGCATGGCATGTTTCTGTTTGTGTCTTTTCTTCTACATAATTCAGAAGCTCTTCTGACTCTCTGCAATTGAGCTGCTTTGGCGATTACCATGTCAGCAAGTGAGATGGATGTGTCTGCTCTGTGAACAAACCTCACTGGTGTTTATAGATCTGTACATATGAGTCTCATTCCTAGCATTTATTTCTGTACACAGTAGATAATAAGTATACTAGCATGTATACAACAAAAAACTGGAAGATTCAATTCAGAGAAAAAAATCTAAAG